TTTTTTAGATTTTTCTACCTGGATTATTGAGCATGCATCAGGATAATAAGGCGTATTAAACAGCAGCCTGAACATGAGTCTGTTGTGAGCAGATGGGTATGAATACAGCAGCTTAAAGGCAAGAAATCAGCAGCATGGATAATCAGCAGCAAACATTTAGCATTTAGCAGAATTTGACGCTCTCTGTTGCTTTTTCCGTGTCAAAATAAAAACCTGTGAACATTTTCAAACTAATTTTTCTTGGCTTCAAAGTTGTCCGGCCGTCGTGAAAAGTCAGCACTAAGTAAAGTATTCGTTTTTAAGCACAACGAGAAGCAATAAAAAAATTGTTACATTTAAAACATGATCTTGCGGGGCCAGTTAAGATGTTAACAAAGGCCCACGGACCTTGAGTTTGACACGTGCGTTACATCTTATCAGCTCAACCGTGTACATTTAGTCTAAATCTGGACTAATTTTGTCTAAACTCTGTCAAACCTGATATGAAAGCAGTTTATTTTCTCTTTACATTAGTGATATATTTAAATAAAATCAATTTGATCTCGTCTAAATGAATTTTATTATATTAAACCTGTTTAAGGTTGTTTAATTCAGTAATCCTAAAAGTCCAGCTAGACAAAGACCAGCTCTGGTCTAATGTGTTCTGGACGTGGACTAAATTCAGCCCAACTTGTCAGATGTGATTAAAGTCAGACCTGGAGTCTTTATGATGGACCAGTGTCTGTCTGAGAGGCCTGCTAGGTTTGAAATATACTGAGATGTGTTTGGTTTCTCAGATACTCCAGCAACACGTGGGACAATGGTTTAATGGTCTTCTCCCATGTTCTGTTCGATGGTGCGTTGTTTTTTTTTTAGACAACCTTATTGATTTGATGAAAGCTCAGTTAAGATATTTGCAAGTTAAAGAGCTTTTTCGACACGTCTGTCCCTTCTGCCCTCGTGGGAACATGTTCGGCCTGATCGTGTAGAGCAGGGCTGTTCAACTCGTGGCCCACGGGTCACTTCCAGCAATAAAACTAATTTAAAAGATCATTGTAATACTTGATTTACATAGTGACTTTTATTGCTGGATGTCCGGCCCCTGAGCTGCTGGCTTTCAGTAACTGTGGCCCCCTGAGCAGTTTTGTTGATTAACCCTGGAAAACTTGCAGGTGAGTCAAAAAGAAGGTTCTGATCCGTGTGGGTTGGTTTCCTGTAACTTCAGTGTTGAGGCTCCCGCCTCAAAGAGATGTCATCGGCATCTTCTCTGGTGAACTTGATGTGGTCCAGGGTGTGTGGTGAAAACATCCATCCATTTCCTTTACCCGTTTATTCCATTTTGGGTCACGGGGGTCGCTGGTGCCCATGGCCAGCAATCACTGTGCGAGGGGCGGGGTACACCCTGGACGGGTCGCAAGTCCATCACAGGGCCACATAGAGACAAACGAGACAAACAACCATTCACTCTCTCACTCACACCTAGGGACAATTTAGAGTTACCAATCAGCCTAACATGCATGTTTTTGGACTGTGGGAGGAAACCGGAGTACCCGGAGAAAACCCACGCATGCACGGAGAGAACATGCAAACTCCACCCAGAAAGGCTCCTGGACCGGGGTTTGAACCAGGAACCTGTTCGCTGAGAGGCAGCAGCTCTACCAGTTGCGCCACCTTGCTGCCCTGTGGTGAAAACATGAATATTTTAAATAAATAAACAAGTTGAGAATCAGGCAGCAGTTGCTGAGCTTCACCCACAGCTTCCATTAGATGGCAGCAAACTCACTTTGAACAGCCAACTGAGCTTTTATGGTGCATGATGGGAAAACCTCAGTTCTCAGGTACCCAAACACAACTGGAGTCAACAGATTAAAAAGCATTTATTTAATTTTAATTTGTGGACAAAGAGCTGCTGCTGCTGCAAAACCGACAGACTCAGTCAATAGAAGAGCAAGAAGATGGAAATAATTTATTTTGTTTTATGTCACAGATTTATTTTCCCCATCTTGTGAATTTATGCATCTCGAAATTAGATTTTTTTTGTAACTTTTTAGGTGGTTAAGTTTGTAAATTGGGTGCACTGATTAAGCTACCGTGTTTTAATTATTTTTTTTTTTTATATGTTATTCAGCTCCAGCTCTTTTGAATAAATCACTCACTTTCCTGTTTTTGACCATCTCCCCACAGTATTTCAAAGAAATAATTACAAAAAGACAAAAACTAACCCGGCTCTTGAGCCTCGGTCTTCTTGTGTGGGAGATGAAAGTGTTTCCGACGTGCTTGACGCTGCGAGCCACAGAGGAAACACTTTAAAACACTTACTGACAGATAAACAAGAAGCCACGGCGCTGATCAAACAGCTGCTGCCACAGTATCCTGTAATTAAACTACAGCAAATGACAGAAGCTGCTGTAATCCAGCAGAAAACAACAACAACCGTGGTTACAAAAATATCAAATACTTTGCATGGAAAGTGCTTCAGTGTTAAAATGACATACACACACACACACACACACTCAGCAGGCAGCTGCTACATGGTTTCTGACGCACCAAGGGGCACTTTTTACAACACAAACACGTTTCTGTTGTTGATCAATTGCACTGAGGTGAGGCACAGTAAAAACAGCACGCTGACAGACGAGTAAAATATAAAACACTTTGTGACGAGCAGCCGTCCCGTCAGAACGACAGTCATTCAGCTTCCTTAAATGATAAAAACATGTTCTAACTCGTCCATTCTTAACGTTTAATAATGTTTACAGCTGTCTGCAGTGACGGTGCTCACGGTTCCTTCGCTCGGGGTCTGACCTTCGTGGTGCTCCTGGACCAGCAGGAGGGGGACTTCACCAGCAGAAGCAGAGGAAACATCGACAGTGAAGAGCTAGCTCCAAGCTGTCGATGTTCCTCGTTACGCTCGATGCAGCCACAGCGGTCGCGTCCGAAGTTTATGAAATGCTGAGTGAAAAAGTGACGGCACGCAAACACGTAAATTTGGTCGTCTTTTGAGTTCCCTGGAAATCAGCCTTTTAAAACGTGACCAGGAGGCTCGAGTGATGTCTCTGTCATTGATTCACGGAGAAGAAGTGATGTGAGGATCACCAGCTCAGCGTGTAACCGTTAGTTGTTTTTCACTTGCGTCGACTGAAGATGCTCTTCTTGCTGGAGCTCCTGTCGGCGGAGCTGAGGCCGATGAGGAGGCGAGCCTTCTCGTCTTCCTCCTGCTGCTGCTGCTGGTTGTTGTCGGACTTCCCTTCAGACGCCTTCCCACGCAGGTCCGAGCCCGAAGCCGGCTTCAGGCGCAGCTTCTCCTTGATCATCTGGAGCAGCAGGGAGACGGAAACATCATTTTCAAATACAGAGTCTCCATCAGCATTCACAAGCCTTCAACGTTTCCATATTTTGTCCTGTTACAACCACAAACTTAAAATAAAAAAACTGTAGTATGCTTTTTTTTTTTTTTATAACTGTTTATTGTTGTTGCTGTTGTCCATTGTTGTCATCTTTCTTTGTTGAAATCAGGTCTCTCTTGTAAATGAGTCCTCGAGGCTCAATGGGATTTACCTGTATAAATAAAAGTTGATTGATAAATAAGTCCTTAAACTGTGTTTTTAATCTCTACTATTCTGATACCTCAAACTAAAGTCCAGTCAAACCTGCCGCCTTCAGAAGTCACTGAATTCATAAATTAAATCCTCCTGTGTGTAATTTAATCTCAGTATAAATCCAGCCGTTCTGTAAAGCCTCAGATGTTTTTCTTTCTTCAGAACTGTAAAGATCAAACAGCATCATGAAGACCAAGGAACACATCAGCCTGCTCAGTGATAAAGTTGTGAAGGAATTTAATCAGGGCTAAGTTATAAATCTCAGACTCTGTAAAGAGTTTGGCTCAACTGCAAACCGTCCGTCTAAACTGAGGGAGCGGAGGAGGAGAGCGTTAATTAGAGCAGAAGCTCATGGTAACTCTGGAGGAGCTGCAGGGATCCACAGCTCAGGTGGGACAATCTGTCCACAGGACAACTTTTAGTCGTGCGCTCCACAAATCTGACGTGATGGAAGAGCAGCGAGAAGTCCACACTTTTGCGGTTTGACAAGAGCGATGTAGGAAACATGGCAAAACATGGTGAAGAAGCTATCCTGGTCCAAAATTCTTCTTTTTGGGTCTAAATGGAAAATTAACACTTCACATCATACTGAACACACCACCCCCACCGTGAAACTTTGTGGTGGCAGCATCATGCTGTGGGAATGCAAAAAAAAACCAAACCAGGATGACCTGAAACATCCAGGCAGAGCCTCAGTGGAACATATTTCAATGGTTCCCAACCCTGGTCCTTGCGGAACACCATGCTGCATGTTTTAGTTGTTTCCCTGTTTTGACACATCTGATTTAAATTAATGGGTGATCAACAGGATCCTGCAGAACATAGTGTAATTAAATCACTGAATCAGGTGTGTTGGAGCTAGAAAACAACTAAAACACTCAGGATGGTGTTCCTCAAGGACCTGTTTTGGGAACCACTGGTTTATATCAAGGCATATTCAAGTGTTAGAACGACCCTGTTTAAGTCCAGATCTAAATCCAACTGAAAATCTGTAGAGACTTGAAACTGTTGTTCAGAGATGCTCTCCATCCTGTCTGTCTGAGCAGCAGTAGTTTTATATTGAAGAATGGAGAGGAGCCCCAAAAGACTACCGGCTAGACTCGAACACAAAGGTGATTCTTTGAAATACGGACTCTGATCCAAATGCACGCTGCGGTTTTCAGGTTTTTATTTGCAAAACCTTTAAAAACCATGTCCCGTTTTCCTTCCACTTGACAATTATGCACAACTTAAGTGTTGATCTATTACAAACAATCCCACAAAATTACTTTTTACGATGCAGCAAGTGGAAATTGTTACTTTTATTTCTTAAAACTCCTGAAGGAAAGTGTGACAAAAACAAACATGAACTTGATGAAAGCTATTGTTTAAAACTTGTGAAATTCTCATGAAAAACCTTGAAGTGAAAACTCGGGCACCTGAGCTACGAGTGCTTTCCGGCTGTCCCTTTTTACGGCCATGGCGAAGTCGAGCCAGGTCCACGTGTTGTTATGGTACTCCAAACAGGGCAGGACCAGGTTCAGGTCTTTCCAGTCCACACTGCTCTTTTCTCCCTGGGGAGACAAATGATGAAACTGAAGACGATGGACTGGAAACCGAAGTCTTCACTGGTTACAACAAACAATAAAGCGTCCCCTTTTTGCACAAAAAAAGACGATTAAGTAAAAAAAGAAAAAGAAAAAAAAAAGAAAATAATTTTCCCAAATAATCAGAGATGTGTTAAATCAAAAAAGTGGTCAAGAAAAAAGGTAGATGTCCAACACAGTTCCTTCCATTTTTGTTCAGTTTGTTGGGGCAGACAAATATTAAATGAATCATAAAGAATACATTTTGTTATTATGCAGCTCAGGGGGTCGCAGCTGTCAGGACTGTGGCTCAAGCTGTGAAGACCAGGGTAAATGTGGACGCTTGGTCACTTAAAGTACAGCCTTCAGATTATTTACAAGTAGAAGATACCTGAGGAGGAGCTCGTCTGCACCTAACCACTGACTAAAAGCCAGAGATACTCAATCCTGCAGGTCTTAAAGTTCTGCAAAAGTCTAATAATCACCCATTCATTCACAACAGTTGTGTTGGAGCAGAGAAACATCTAAAATGTGCAGGATAGTGGCCCTCGAGGACCACTGTAGGCCTTCAGTGTGGGTTATTTATGCCAGAACCCTGATGACTGATCTTGATTTAAGGAGTTATCTTCTTTTTTTATTATATAAACTGAAATCAGTTAATCAGGAAGAAATTAGACTTCAAGTAAAGTGAAGTATTTATCTTTAAATATGAAGATTTTTTGTGTGCAACATCAGTACGGTGCAGAAACCCACCTTATAGCTGACACAAAGAGGCACTTGGGGAATCTTAATGTAGATGAAAGAGTTGTTCATCGCAGCTCGCTCCTTCATCTTATCGATGTCATCGACTGGATGCTGATGAAATGAAATTGAACACAAGGAAGTTTATTTTACAACAACTTCACTGATATCCAAGCCCAAACGAAAAGGCCTCCCCACCTCTGGAGGTTTCCTGAACGACCTCCTGACCCCAGCAGTGCGGTTCAGCCCCTGGGTGACACTTTTACTGGGGCCCATAGCGCCCATAGTGTCCTCTGACGGTGGCCGGGGTTTGACAGTGATACCTGTGACACAGAGCACACGGACATCAAATATGGCCTCTGGGTGACTGCTGATGACATCCAATACGCCCATTTAGTATTACACACACAAATACACACTTGTCGAGGTCACATTTGAAGTGTCCGAGCCTTTCACAGCCCTGAGGGATTTGACATTTGAATAATTCTACACCGCTCATGTGTGGTAGAGAAAACGGAAACTGATACTGATAGTTTGTTGGTATAAAAAGCAGGAAAGTAATGGCACAGAGGACAAGAGGGTGAAGTTAAGATAAAACTTTATTGTCTACCACAAATGTGGCAGAAATTCTCCTTTGACATGCTAACCACATTATTACCATTAGTTAACACCATTAAGATGTGTCTACTTAGCTGTTTAAGAACATTATTGTAGATGGTACAAATGATTTCTTATAAATATTCTTCCTGGCCAGCAGGACTTGGTAACGCCTGTTTGATGGAAACATCTGGAAGCAGTTGTGTAGAGGATGTGAGAAGTCCTCGGTGATCAGGGTGGCTTTCTTGGTCACTGAGCGGCTGCAGAAGTCTGACAGGGGAGACTGACGTGAACCAGTTATTGCACTTGATTGTTTAATTATTCGTTGTCATTTAACTTTCTGTTTTACATTGATGAGGTTGAACCAGGATGAAATATTAAGTTAAAATGGACTTGATCAGGGACTTGTAAATCAAGGTCAGTGTGCTCCTGCTGACATGAGGCCAAATCAATCTACAGAAGACACCATCTCTTCTGTGGTCCACACTGCTCTCACCCACCTGGACCAGAAGGACTCCTTTTGTCAGTCTGCTCTTTGTGGACTTCATGTCCGTCTTCAACACCATGATCCCCCAAACCCTGATGGACAAACTACTCACACTAGGACTAAGCCCCTCCACTTGCATCTGGGTCCTAGACTTCTTAAACAGACCACAGTCAGTGAGGATCCACAACTTCTTCTCCTCCACCATAACCCTCAGCACTGGCTCCCTTCAGGCCGAGCACTCTCCTGTTCACTCTGCTCACGTATGACTGTGCACCTACCCATTCAGGGTATAATGTAAAAAAATTAAAAAATAAAATAAATAAAATGTTGTAAGCTCAATCATCCAGGTAGATAATAAGAAACGGGTTCAGATGACATGATTTAACCATTTTTGTCACATTGTAAAATTTGCAGATGATACAGCGGTGATGGGATGCATCACAAACAATGATGAGTCCAGCTACAGGCAGGAGGTGGAACACCTGGAGAGCTGGTGCAGGACGAACAACCTTCACATCAATGTGAAGAAGACAAAAGGAGATGTTTGTAGACTTCAGACAGAATAAACACCACCTGGCCACCTGCATCATGAAGGACCCCACTCACCCAGCACACACACTTTTTGCCCCACTCCCCTCTGGAAGAAGGTTAAGGAGCATGAAGTGTAGAACCACTAGACTGAGGAACAGCTTCTACCCTGAGGCTGTTAGATTCATGAATCTCTAACCAGAATAATCACATCATGTTGCTGCTGATCCATTTCATGTTGCTGTGTACGTTTGTGTTCAACTGCTCACACAGACTCATGTTCGTGCTGCTGTTCAGCATATTGTTTTTATGCTATTAGTGCATTTTTATTAATGTTTTTCTTAGTTCATATCTTAGATCTTATTACAGTTTTTCTTTTACATTTTAATACTTTTGTTGGATGTAACTGGGACCCTGTGTACACAATTTCATTCCACCACATGTACCATTGCATGTGGTAGAATGACAAATAAAGAGCCTTGAATCCTTGAATGAAAGGTCTTTAGTTTCCTCAGTGGGTCAAGATGTTGTTGGGCCTTCTTATAAATTGAGTCAGTGTGCTGTGAGAAAGACATGTTTGTGTCCATCTTTTTGCCAAGGTACTTAAAAGCATCCACCTGCTGCTCTACCTGCTGTCCATGGATGGTCAGTGGCTTAAACAACAGTTCGGGGTTTGGGCTCGACCCCCACAGCACAGTTCCTTAGTCTTTGAAATGTTCAGATCCAGTGAGTTCAGTGAGTAACGTAATGAAGATATTGTGGACTGTGTGCGGATAGTGGGACAGAGCATCAGGTCCGGTCAGGTGCGCCACCAGAGCCATGTCATCTGCATATTTAAAAAGAGACATTTCTCCACTGCTGCATGAAACAGAGTTTATGTAAATAGAGAAGAGAATAGGAGAAAAAATGCCTTCTTGTGGAAATCCAGTGTTTGTCAATTAGTTTGACTTAAAACCATTTAAAAACACTTATCGTATGTCCAATAAAAAGCACTGAATCCATAAAATCGAGTTTAAATGAACCTGAACCTTTTTTCCCCTCACTCGCCCTCGAGCAAGACGGATGCCTTTTCTTCCCTCTCTTGCCTTCCACCTGCTTTTACTCTTTGTCTTGTGTATCGGAGCTTCACCTACACATCTTCCGAATCGTAAATTACTGGTATGGATTTGGTCAGCTGGACTTTCAACGCAATTGATAAAAACATTTTCAACCAAGCGACAGGGTGCTGGAGAACCCTCATGCCCTGGACAGATGCACACATGGATTCCTGGGGGGGAGGGGAAGCTGATGTGCTGATGAGCTGTGTTGTTACAGGAGGATGTCGAAGATTTTTACATCGTTGGATTTACGATAGTACGGTTTCTGCTTTTTGACACCCGTGGATACCTGTGTCATCGGCTATTAAGGAAGACGTCGGCAGCAGTTTCGGCCATGGCAAAGCTGCCAACTTTATGTGAAGAATTAATTAGACTCAGCTGATTTACAAGCTCAACTGGAAGCTGGAAGCGATTTGGTCACTTGCAGCTTCTGGAACTCACCAGTATGTTGGAATCGATCTTGGAGAAGGCTAGTAAGCACGGACCAGCAGAAAGACCACAAATCTGGCCATTTTGGATCAGTGAGAATACCAGCAGAACTCAAGGCTGACAAGAAAAACAGTCTGCCTGCACAAAAACAATTATAGCTTATCTGAATCTGGCCTCTCTGTTTGACCTTGAATAGGCCAACTTATCAAATGGGGATGTGTAAATCAAGAACGCTCTGCTCTATCCACGCCCGCCCGACAACTTCTGTGAAGGCTTATCAGAGCTGTACCGGCTGACACATGAACATCTTCAGGACTATGGAACTATCTGGAAGTTTTTCATGGACAAATCTCACCGTCTTGTCATCAAATGCATATGTAATGTGTCTATAAATGTGCTTGCTGGTAGATTTTTGACAAGGACAAGGTGTGAAGAGATCTTTTTTTAATACCCACTATCCTCATGATCTTTCCCCTTTTCTTATCTAAAGAATAAGGGCCGCGCTCCTACGAGCTGCAGCCACGAGCATTCCACCCATTTTAGGACGACTGTACAGAATACAGTTTCGCTGTACTTCACTGTGCAATAACAATAAAGCTTATTCTGATTCTGAAGATCCGACAGATAATAATAATTAATATTCACAGTGTTAAAGGCGGAACATAAATCCATGAATGTTCTTTGCGCTGCTTTTATGAAACAACTTACCAGTAGTAACCATTCTAGACTTGTCCTCCTCATCAGCGACCTCTTCCTCCTCGACGTTTCGACCCGGGAAGAAAAACCCCATCATTCGTTTGAAGAACTGGTACATGAGCTGAATGGTGAGCGGCACAACGTTCACCTGATGGAGCACAGAGTTGATGTCAAAACTCCCGATACGGATTTCACAGCGTCTGCAGGCAACATTCCACACCTCAAAGTGCTCCTTCACCGAGATTCCTCCCACCGGGGGGCGCACTTTGCTGAAGATGCGCAAAGCGAACTGACGGCCCAACTGGCAGTTACTCTGAGGACGAAGGACAACCTGGAAAAAGACGACGACGGCAGGAAATCATGAAGCTCCATCGGCGGGTTTGGAAATGGAAACACGGCACATGTTGATGTGAACACAGGTGAGGACGTTATGGAAAATGAAACATTTCTTTAACCACGCATGCATCTATGGATCTGATTCAACGTGCACTACCATCTTCGTTGTGATCCCGTCAGTACAAACACGATGAACACGCACTTAATTTTCTCATCACTGTATAAGCAGAGTACGTACCCTCACACGCTGCACGGAGGAAATCAGCAGAAATAAGTTAACACAAGATGATAACTTCTCTCAAATGATTTTGAGTTTATAAAGAATGTAGATTATGTTTGCTTGTTAAAGCATCAAAAATCTAAACTGGCTTTATTGTCAAACTGTAAGAAAAGCTCAGGTAAAAGTCTTCTTTTTTTGTTTAAACTGAACGAGAGGTAACCAAATCTGACATAAAAAATAAAAAAAAGTACCTTGTAGGCTGCGTTTGGAAGCAGGTTGTTCATCGTGAACCACCCGAGCTCCAACAGATGCTCTGCTGTGTCATCAGACTTGTTCAGCTAAAAAAAGAAAAAGTCAACATTTTTGTAGTTCTCAGGCAGATTTTAAGAAAAAAATATGCGTACAATGAACGTGAAACTTGTTAAAAGGAGATAAAGAAGTGGGAGTGGATCAGCAGCGTCTTCGCACCTTACTGTACATGAATCTCTGCAGCTCCAGCTCAGCGATGCCCAGCTGGCCGTCCTCTTCGGTCAAACACCAGCGAGCCTGAGCAAAGTAAATCTCCGTCCTCCTCGCCACGCTCACGTCCTCTGGGGGCTTGCGCAGCTCCAGCTTGTTAGCCCTTTGCAGCTGGAAGTCTTTGAAGCACCTGGACAACAGAAGACGTTTACTTTCACCCGCGAACCACGTGTTCTTGTTAAACGTGCATTTGTGCTATAGTGAGACCTGATGAGGATGTTGAGCTCTTCGCTCTTCATCTGCATGTCGTTTTTCTCCTGGTTCAGCTGGTTCTGCAGACGCATGTTGATCTCCATCAGCTCCTCGCTGCTCTGTTCTTCAGGTTGGGCCTGAGAGAAGAAGCAAAATTAAGGTGATTTGAACTCTTCAGCCACATTTTTATAAAATGTATCCTTTTATATTTAATACACAATGTTTTGTTTATTATTTAGGACATTTCTACATTGTTAGCACAGACTAGGAGCTTTGAACAATCAGAAAATCATATTTGGAAATACGCATCATTCTCTGGCCTTTGAGCATTCAAATACTACAAAAACACTCGGGTTTTCTTCCAATTTAAACTCGTCTGATCAAATGCCATGAACTCAAGAATCAGACGTCGCACAGCTTGTTTTGGAGCCAAAAATGGCTTTGAAATACATATTATACTCAAGATGTGCAAAGTAACAGACAACACCTGTTAAATGGACTTAAAAACAAACAGAAGTTGGATATTTATTCCTGCAAACAAAACCAATAATATGGACAGAGAGATTTTGTTTTGTGGATTTTTAAACCAAGTGAGTTCAGTTTGTTTCAACTCGACCCGATTAAATAGTTCAGGTGTTACAAAAGCAATCAGCACCCCGTTCTTCTTCCTCGAATGGTGGTGGTGGGTGTGTGTGTGTGTGTGTGTGTGTGTGTGTGTGTGTGTGTGGGGGGGGGGCTAAATTATGGAATAAACTGCAAATCACCTTGATGTTGGAGTAAATCTGTTTCTCCAGGCGTCTGATCTGAGCGAGGTGCTGCCTGACCGCCTCCTGCAGATGTAAGATGCTGCTGCGCTGCTCTTCGGGGTTACTAGAAATTTCCAGCTGGAAACGCATGCGCTGCTTTTTCTCACTGTGTTCCTGAATGCATCACAGAGAAAAAACAAACAAGCAGGATGGTTAGAGACCACAAAACTGACAACATTCAGTTTAGCAGACGCTCCTGGTTACCTTGCGCCTGGGCTCCACGTGTAACAGCAGGTTGTTGACGATGTCCAGGATCATGGCGTACTGGACAGGGTTAGTGGAGATCTCCAGGTCATGGTGAATGAGAGTGAATGTTTCCACAGCACCTAGACGGAAAATTAAATGCCACTCTAAAAACCACCAACTAAAACATACATTTCTCCTCTTTTTACTCCAGACAGAGGACACGTGCACCTGAAGTGATCAGACATACCAGCTCGCTTATTTAACAGGTCCTCTTTCTCGTGGTTGTTCCTCATCTCCGGTGGTTTGATCTGTGTGGCAAGCTCGGGGTTGATGTCATGACTATAACTGATGTAGTGCATCCGGCAGCTGCAGCGCGAGATGATGCGCTGCACCTGCTGAGAGGCGTCGTTCACCTGCGCAGGCTGGTTCCAGTCTGTAAATAAAGTGGTCATTTTAGCAGAAACTGTTCTTTTGTGTATAGAGCACACACACACAAACACATTTTTACAGTTGTGACAGTTTGTTTGAAACCACACTGTTGGTCAGTCTGACGTGTTTCTCACCTGTGGTGGTGCTAACCATCCCTCCCACCGCCTGGCCGCCCTCCACCAGCTCCAGCACAGCGTCCAGGTTACGCTGCCTGTGCTCCTCGATGTTTTTCACCTGAACACAGCAAAACGCAAATAAAACCAGAATCACAATATGCACACCCAGCTCAAAAATAATTTAAAAAAGGTTACACAAACATATGCAGTGGTATTCATCTTACGAGTATTTTATTAGCCATGTGGTTGTTAATTACATTTGTTGTTTTTTCTGTTGCAGCTATAAATTTAAATGTAAAAAAATAGGCATTGTATTTGCATGAAGCATTAAGTGACAGCCAAAACAGTCAGCTGTTACTGCTCTGTAATACACTGAATATTTCAGTACCATAGTATTGTGATGTACAGCAGGTTACAGAATTGAGACAGAACCAAGTTAACCATTATGCTATACCAACCTCTCTTTTAATTACACGCTTTATTAATTTGTCAGCCTTGGAAATGGGATCTGTGTCTCTACTTGCTGAATACAAGACTTTAAAGGGCAAATGGATCGTACTTCAATCACCTTTTTAGCCAAACTACCCACAGCTCAGTGTCAGTCAGCCCTGGGTCCTATTTACCCATCCACATATTCTTACAACTCTACTACATACAAAGCATATCTGAATAAATCATTCTATAGAGACTATTCTGCGTTTTAAATCACATTCATACACCGATGGGACACACAAAGGCTGTAAGGGTTTCAGTGTCTTGCCCATGAGCACTTTGACAAGTGACATGACTGCACAAAGTTAGAATCAAACCTCCGATGCTCTTGTTGGAGGATGACTGCTCTAACCACTGAGCCACAGCTGTCCCCTGTATTTTAGCGGCCACATACTAAGCTACACTTTCACCAATGAGACAGCTCTGGGCAGCAGACAGGTGATTAAAGCACAAACACTTAGTAAACTTTATCAAACTCTACTTGTTTGAGTGAGCTATAAGATATATAGACAGTAAAACTGTATCCTTACCAAGTAAATATACTGTATTCACCACTTAAGAACTGAGCCTACCTCCAGCCACAGTTGTCTGTCCTCTTGGTCTGAAGGATTCAGCTCCATGGTGGCGAAGTACTGCATCCCATCCAGCAGACACGTCCAGGTGGTTTTCTGTTTCAGCGTGTCGTTGTACCAGGCAGGATGATGCTCACACTGCAGCAGCTGGGCCTTGGCTGCAGACACCAGAACACAACCTGCCGTCTCTGTACCGCGCAGCATCATCTGAGCAAAGAAAACAGAAAGAACAAACACAATTATATTTTGCAGTGATTAAAGTTTAACAAGGATTTATCAGTTGTCATATTGTCAGTGCACTGCTGAGGAGTGGCACACTTTCAGTGTGAATCAGCTAATTTACCAACACAGAAACTCAAATCAAAATATGTTCAGAACATGCAAAGCACACACCACATTGTCGGTTTGAAGGTAATTTTGTCTCATGTTTTTACAGCCTAAATTATTAGAATACCGTATGTCTTTGATGACGGATTAAAGTTGCTCAAACAATATTCATCCATCGAGTGGCCTATGGCAAGGGTATCTGTATCACAGCTGAATGGCAATTGCAATAATTTTATTTATATATATATATATATATATATATATGAATAAATGAATAATAATATATAAATTAATATATATACATTTTTTTAATTTTTCCCCAGCTGGTCCCTTCTTTAGGGGTCATGACAGCTAGGCCTGTCGCAATAAACAATAAATCAATTAATCGCATGTTAAATGAAAATTATCGACCTCATTTTCATTCATCGGCTTTATCGTTTCTTCGCATCTCTCTCTTCCTACCGGAGACACTGGATGACAAATGGCTCAACTCTGGTGTTCTTCACTGACCCCTCCCTTTCTCTTTTCTCTTTAAAATCCATTTAAACCATCCAAAATTGTGTTTTTGGATCGTTAAAAGCAGCTAAGCTGAGAAGCTAAGCTAACAGACCGGCCTCGGGAAAAACCCTCCGTCTTGTCGAAGCTCCAAAATTCACGGTTGAAACCCGTGCCTTCATGTAAAAAGTTGTTTTTCTCTGCAAAAAGAAGCAGAGAACTTGTTTACTGATTTTTTATTAAAAGCCTTGTGTATGCTAAAGAGCTCAAACCACACCGAGTGTCCCGCCATTTTGAGAACCAAAAAACAGGAACGAGAGACAGCCCATGTCACGTCAAGGGGCCTCCCTCCCATTCGTCTTGAAGAGACACGCTGCTCGCTCCCTCACTATCCATCCTTCGGTTCAAACAGTCTTATACTACCATCCAGTGGTCAAAAAAGGTACTACACACAAAAATTGAAATTTCTCATTAAATTTGACAATAATTACTAATTATTGTCAAATTTCAAACAATATTATTGTTTATCGCAATAATTTCTGAGACAATTAATCACCCAGCAAAATTTATTATTGTGACAGGCCTAACAAAAGCAAACACTCATGAAGATTTGGCAATTGTTTTGCGCCACATGCCCTTCCTGCTGACCTAACCACTGACCTCCTTACAGCCCACATGTATGGAGAAGAGGACAAAGGACACCCCCCCCCCCCCCAGTTGCTTCCCCAGCACCCATCTAGGGCGCTGGGGAAGCAACTGAAGGGCTGAAGGGTTAAGGGTCTTGCTAAAGGGCCCAGAGTGGGACAAATGAGGGTGGAGGCAGGTGCAGCTGCTTTACTTTTCCCACTCAAATTTTGATGAATTTGAACTAGTGACCTTCCTAACTGCTCCCCCAACATATGAACCCCCAACAAAACCAACAAATAAACAAATAAAAATGGTGTAACAGTAAAGCCTGAAGTTTGTTAAGCCTTAATACAAATGGGAATCTTCAATCACTCATCTGTTCCCAGTTCCTACAACCATCAGAGAGCATTAAAAGTTAAGTGGCTGAATTACCTGACAGTTGACCAGCTCAATGAACCAGTTGCGGTTGTACACATCATCAGTCTGACAGGCAGCGATCCCACACAGCTGATCGCTCACACCTGAGTCCTCCTCTGAAAACACCACAAACTTGTCCGTTTCTTCAATCAGCTTCTGCAGCATCAAAGTTCCTACAGAACAAAGATGGATTAGTCGATCTTCAAACCTCGCTGCTGTTTTGTTTTTTTCCCCAGGAGGAACCCTCACCTTCATTTTGACTTTTTTCTGCTCGACTGATAGTGGACACGATGGGCATGATGGGAGCAGTAGTGGGGGAGTATGTGGAAGGAGAACGTTTGATCTTCTTTGTCTGTAGCTGCGTGTCAATCTTCAGACCTTTCAGAGCTTCGGTGGACAGATTTCTCTTCAGCACAGACGCCTTTTTATAACCGTCATATAGCCCAAAAGCTATGTTTCTGTTCATGGTTGTCCAGGAGGCACGCAGGTCCACCAGACGTAGTTTGTGAGTGTAAGGAGCATTAGATTCATCCTTCAGGTTCACCTCCTGTCAAAACATCAGAAACTATCTGATTTATTCATCCAGCTCCGGTGAAAAACAGAGCTGAATTTTCAGCCTCGTGGTTACAGGTTTTACCTCCTCCATGCGGTTGCTCTGTCGCTGGTAGCTGAGAGATGACAGGCTGAGCAGATGAGTCTTCTTCACCTGAGCGTTCATCTGGTGATCTGCCGTCTCGTCCCAGGTGGAGGCCATCAGGTGAACGGTCACCTGAGAGAGTTCACTGACCATCTGAGTAACGTTCCATTCAGAGATCAGCCTCCGCATCACAGTACCAGCTGAGGGACCACACATTAAAAATCATTTAAAAACTAATGCTGGGATTTGTTGTTTTTTAATCCTATGGTTTATTCATTCATTCAGCCTTTATTTATATGGGTTAGTCTCATTGAGCCTCAAGGACTCATTTACAAGAGAGACCTGTTTTAAACAAAGAACACAGATGAAGGACAGACAATAATAGACAATCATATAAAATGAAAAGTAAATAGAAGTTTACCCTGTGGAATAAGTCTCTGCTCTCCACGAGTAAAGACCTCGCCTTTATCACACTCCAACTGGATTCCCCTCTGCTGGGCAAAAGAGGCCCAGTAATGCACCTAAAGAACGTAGAACACATAACAGGAACATGTGAACGTCAGGAATTCAAGAGATCTCCTGGTAATTAAATCAAGGACAGGACAACTGATGCAAATTATTTTTCAGCAGTAAAAACATCAAATGGGGTTTTAGCGGACTGTTGCTGGTGGGCTTACTTGTAGCCGTGGGAAGGCAGCTGTGTAGGACATTTGTTTGTAGTGCTGACCAAGCTTCTTGCGGACTGGTCTGAGGCTGTGGAAGAGCTTGCCTCTGCAGATTGGTCGGGAAACACTCGTCCAGGTGGCCCAGAAGTTCTGCATCCAGCGCAGAGTGCTGCTGTATAGTAAGATTTTGGGCTGGGAGGATTCTACAAAGAAGAAATGCATACAAGTCTATACGCTAAGAGACAAACAATCTGGTGATTTTCTCGTGCGCTGAGTTATGTTCTCGTAGACAGAAGACCTAAGAGTTGTACATACCAGCTGAACAATGCTGGTTGAGATCCATGGTGATTGAGAGGTTAAGGTTCTCGGAGCGAAAGGCTCTGTAGGAGTCATGAGGCTGTCCTGAGGTCACATCAGCAATGTTCTCTGGGCAGCACAGCATCACAGCATGGTGGTCATGGGGGTTTCCATGGCAGAGCCATTGGAGGTCAAGGGTCATACACAGGTTGGGCAGATGCAGAAAACAGATATCATCATACCTAGTGTAAAAAACAAAACACGGAGTTTCATTATTCAAAATTGTAACTCATAAATGCTACAAACAAACAATTTTAAAGTATTATAACTTACTTTGATGCTGTCCGGACGTTTAAGTCTAAATCCCCTTTAAAAATGAACTGCCCTGGGTTCCAGTCAAAGTTCAACTTGTTCCATTCCCAGTGCAGGTTTTCTGTCGTGTTATAAGGGTCCTGTAAGAACACAGGCATCATGTATAAAATATATATTTTGTATCGACTAGAACAGAATAAAAATGCACAGTGCCTCAAACACAGAACAGAGACATTTTCCAGGATTAAATTTGTGACGTAAACATGGTTTTACCTCTGTAGCTAGCTGATGAAGATTAGCGTGCTCGATGTTCATGGCCCAGTGTCCGTGTAGAAGGAGGCGGCTTTTGTCCCACCAGGCCAGGAGAGGCGAGGGATCAACTGTGGGTTTGGTCAGCAGGTCCACCGACTGTCCAATCAGAGTCCAGGCAGGGTCCCAACATGGCCCCCACACGATGGTATACTGAGAGATATTGGCTGCAGAAAAGACAGGTTTTGTTTTTAAATTTTATAAATAAATATAATATCTATTTTGTTAAGTATGAAATTTTGATGAGTTATGTATTTTGATGTATTATATATGAATGTTTATGTTTAAATTGATGGTTTGAATTGATTTTGTTTATGAGGGAGCAGATATGATAAGAAATTTTCTTATTCTGCTTCCTTTCATTTTATATTTGTTTTTTCTTGAATTTTTTGAAATTGTATTTGTGTTTTTATTGGAAATGAAATGAATAAATAAATAAAAAATAATAAATAAATAAATAAATAAAATAAATTTTAACATGACAGACCTTTAGGCAACATTTTGCTCCAATTATGAATACATTTTTTTCTCTCTTAATACTAATTATATTTAGGTGACATCAAAGATATCTTGTAATGATTTTAAAGTTTTATCTGAGTTTTACAGAATCGATTATTCTACATAACACATGCTTGATTTTCTAATAAAGACACTTGAATCACTTACATTTAAAATTATAGTAAAACTTGAGTGGAGGCATATTTCTGTGGACTGTCACATCTCCCCACGGTGCACCAAGTGAGACGGTCTCTTTACGATGAGCTCTTGCCTGTCCGTCCTGCTCTGTCCCAATCAGACGCCCCGACAGCTCCCAGTCCCCGATCTCAAAGAGGTAGCGAGGGTAGTCCCGGATTCTCACTGTCACAAAACAATCATTGTAAAATAATTATTCGCTGATAAAATAAAATTAAAAAAATTCCTGTGTTGATTCCAGCTTACCCAAAAACGTAGCTAGTTTAAACTTGACAGCGCGGCACCACTGAACCACCAGAGGGAGTCCGTCTCTGGGGAAGGGACTGATCTTGTCAATGTCTCTCATCTGCTCAATAACCTTCTCTGGTCCATGAAGAGCCTCATCAGCCAGAACCACTAGCTCCAAATCGGACACAGTCCAAGTCAGCAGAGACTTCCTCATGGGTGTGTTTGCATAGAGGCGACGTGAGCGCTGGATGTAGATCTCGATGTGCTTTTTCTCCAGCGAACTGTAAAGCTCCTCTATCTTCCTGGCAGGCAGAAGCTCTCCGTGCTGCTTTCGCAGTTCTGCCACTTTCTTGTCCAGAAGCTGCAGACGCTTCGCGCTCTCTTTACTCTCATCCTTCATGAGCTCGTAGTTGTCTCGCAGCTTGATTTCAAAGACGTCGTCGAGGAAGACGAACGAGAACTGGCTGATTTTGAATACGAGGTCGGGAGGCAGACGCTGCTCAGAGGAGGACGGACGGTGGGGACGATGGAGGGTCTTCAACCACTTCTGCACATTAATGGCCATGTCAAAAGTGTTTGAGAAGTTGTACTGGTAAGGAAACTCCACGGATAATGATGGGCAGGTGAAGACCCACACACGGTTGTGAGGAGTGGTCAGGAAAGGAAATGCATCTCGATGCAGCTGCATCTCAGTCAGCTCTTCGTTCGTTTCCACATCCAGCTCGTTAAAGGAGACGATGTTGTTGCCGTCGAAGTTGAAAATGAGTGAAGGGGAGTGTAGGTGCATGGAACCAGCGTGCTTTGAGATCGTGAGGGCGTCAGCGTGCAGCAGAATATAGTTCTCCTCACTAACATGAGCCGTTAAACGAGTAGCTCCCATTTCAACACGTACGGACAAGATTCTGCTATGACCCGACGCAGCTTCACTGTCCAAAGGCGTGACGGACTTCATCTCTCTCTTCTCTCCAAAAAGTAAACCCCAACAAGCCTGAGCTTCAGTCAAGTGCTGAAACAAGACCATGTGGTCCAGTGGAGTCCAGTTGACAGTGAGCTCCTCTTCACACTGAATCTATTTAATGTAAGAACAAAGCTGCAATAACACCGACACTCTTTCATCCAAAAGGAAAACAAACAAACAGTATAATTACCTGTAAGGTGTGGGTGGTGATGTGGTAGCAGATGGTTATTGTGGTGAGTTTGATTACGGGGTTGATGGTCTGGGAAGCAGAGCAGCATGGTTCCATGTTCTCTGTGAGCGTTTTACCTGCAGACAAGCTCATTCCCTGAAGAGACACTCTGGAGCTTTCAGTAGAGCTCAGGACACTGACGGTGTCCATCCGCAGAGACACAGCTCCTAAACACGATAAAGGTCAAACAAAACATAAATAAATGTGACGTTAAACTGTCAGAGATCATAGGAGAGTGATGAAAATGGAAAAATGGACAATTTTAACAACATGTAGGTTAAAAAACAAATCAAGAACATTTTCCTAAAACAAGATTACTTTTAAAAATGTGCTTATGTTTAGGACAGCCAACATAGAAAGGTTCAGTTTACTGTAACATGAAAAGTAATTTTCACAGGTTTAAAATGCTAAAACAATTTTTTGACATTTTACTCAAATAAACTTACAGCTATACAATGAGACAAATTATAGTTCAAAACATCGAAGTTCATGCTCAATAATCCAGGTAGAAAATCCAACAAAGTTCAGTCAAGTCATCTGGACGGTTTCTTTTTTTCACGTTTCATTCTTCGTCTAAAATACTTCATCAGTCCGAGGAGCCACAAACAAACTCAGTCCCACAAGCAGCACACTCCCATAGTGGACCAACCAGTTTGCTGGTTTTTGGAGCCTGCCCTCTCCCCCGTCGACTCCTCTGAGGCAGCCATACACAAAGTGGTTCAAAACATCAAAGTTCATGCTCAATATTCATCGAATGATGAAGTCCTTTGGATGAAGGACGAAACATCTAAAAAAAAACAAAAAAAAAAAAAAAAAAAAAACAACAACATCCAGATGACCTGATTTAACTACTTGGATTATTGAGCATGAACTTTGATGTTTTGTATCACTTTGGCTATGGCTGCCTCAGAGGAGTCGACAGAAACCATCTTATCACCAGCAAACTGGTTGGTCCACTCTGGGAGTGTGCTTCTTGTGGGACTGAGTTTGTTTGTGGCTCCTCGGACTGATGAAGTCCTTTGGATGAAATGCAGCACGCACCCCCCTCCCCCCCCCCCCAAAAAAAAAAAAAAAAAAAAAAAAAAAAAAAAAAAAAAAAAAAAAACCAACAAAATCACCCAGAAGACCCGAATGTACTCTTTTGGACAAATTAAAGTCATTAAAAAAAAAAAAAAAGCCAATTTTTTCTTTTTTTAGTTATTTTGCCTCGTCTGTGAAATATTTTAAGGCAAAATATTACTTTTGCAAAGAAAGAGTTTTCACCTACGATGAAAAGCATCATTAAGAGGAAATAACTTTTATTTCCAAATCTGAACAGATAACTGACTAATGCACTTTTAAAACTTAAGCCACCTCAAACAAAGACCAGTGGTTTTAGTTTGTTTTTATTTCCTCAGCTTGTAAGTTTGTGATGACTTCAGTCAACTTCAATATACGAGAAACATTAAAAGTTTTATTTTACTCCATAATTTTTCATTCAAATAATAAGATGCTGCTTAAAAGAATTGCCATTAATGACTATTATTTAATAAAGAGCCTGTAATAAAAAAAACAAACATGTTAAACAATACCAAACTATGACACGATCACAAACCACTGCATCGACCTCTCCGCTCTAACCCTGTCAGAAAAACAAAGAGTCACTAATCTGGGCGTGATAATGGACCCTTCCCTGAAACTTAACAATCATGTAAACATGATTGTTAAATCATGTTTACATGATTGTTAAATCATGTTTCTTCCAACTGAGGCGGCTGTCTAAACTGAAGCCCATATTGTCCAAAAATAACCTGGAGACCGTAATACCTGCATTCATTACATCTAGGCTTGATTACTGCAATTCACTCCTGTTTGGTATCAGTCAGACTTCCATTGCACGACTACAACTGGTCCAGAATGCAGCAGCCTGATTTTTAACCAGTACAGGCAAAAAAGAGCACATTACACCAGTTTTGGTCTCACTGCACTGGCTACCGGTTCACTTTCGAATCAAGTTCAAAATACTCCTGTATGTCTACAAATCGCTGAACAGTTTCAGTGCTCTATAAATAAAATGGTATGGTATGGCATCTTTGACTAAATGTTTTTTACAGTAAGATTTCTTACCCGCTACATTGGAGACTGTGAATACATCAACATCTTCCAGACAGCAGTCCATTCTGAAGAGGAGGTGCAGCTGTGAGGAGGAGCTCGGAGGGGCAGTTTTGTCCGAAGAGGGAGACGCCGCAACTGCACCTGACAGCTGCGGCTCAGAGTCCCGAGTAAAACACATGAGGGACATCAGGCGGGAGAGACACAGCGCGCACGTCTCTGACAGCTCCACCTGAAGACCTTTCAGGTTGGACTCCACACTCAGGCTCGGAGGATGGCCACTCGACTCCGAGACAAGTCGGTTAAAACTCCCCTGGACAAAGAAGTCATTGAAAAAGCATGAAAGACATATAAAATAAAAAGCTTTACAAGGTTAATTTTAATGTTTGCCATTTATTATTTGTGTGGGTCAGAACACCAGCTTTTTAAAATACATAAATTACAAATTGTAAGCATCAATAGAACACAGATTATTGTTTATTCCTCAGGTTTGTTGTTGAGTTATGCTCAGTTTGACAAACACAGAACGGTGTTTGTAATTTTGAGACGCTAAATTAAAGCTTTTGTATTTACTATATAAGCTGGTGTTTTTTGGGAACCTTACCACCTACAATTCTCAATTTCTTGTAGCAGTTTCATAGATTTTCCTTGAAGATTTAAAACTTAAATTTGACACTAAATGCTGTTTACTTCTGCTGAGTTTTTAAGAAAGCATCATAAGTCAGTAAATCAAAGAATGGAGACATAATTTATTGAATGATTTGCTACATATTAGGCTTGTGTACACGTTTTATTTTGTTCTCAAGCACAAATAACACAGTTCACTCGTTTACTTGACCTTAGGAGCAACTTCTGAATCACTGGCTTTAATGTGAAAGTCTAATTTTAATTTAAGGAAGGTGTTCGTAACCATGTGTGACCGTGATTTAAACTGAATGCTTTGCGCCGTCATTAGCTGGTGCCACCGATGAAAGGCTGCAGTTTTAAAATTAACAAAGCAGTTGTTTTTTTTAAAAGGTAGTTTCTACGTTTTGATTTAAATATTTAACATGGTGTGTTTTAAGAAAGCAGGCTGTGCAAGAAAAATACAAAATAAACACGTTACAAAATGATTCCTCACAAGTTTGGCTCCTACCTGAAGACTTAAGGAGTCCAGAATCAGTGCTTCCCCCCACACATGTTTACCAGGAGGGTGGGGGGCCTGTTGGATATGAGAGCCCTGACCAACCCTCCACCAGAAGCTATCCAAGAACAGTGAAGCTCGTTGGTGCAGGTTCTGAGACTCTGAGCTGTCTTTGTCGACTTTCAGGTCGAGAAGATGCTGCAGTTCTGCAAACACAAAGCATCAAATAAAAAGTGAGTTTGTTTAGGAGTAACGGTTTGCAGGGATAAAAGGAAGAATTAATTAATGGGTGACAATTTAAAGAGAACTCCATGTTTGTAAAGGTTGCACAGATTTGCTCTCCAAAATAAAACTATAAATTGCGTGAAAAAATATTTTAAAAGCAGTGTGGGAGTTGTAAGAAACAGTGGTTCCTAAATTTGGGGACCAGGACCCCACTGTGGGTCATTATTATTTATTAACCTTTAATGAACCATGTCCCACCGAGACCACAGATCTCTTTTGAAAGGCAGGCCTGGGCCTGAAGGCCGACTAACATGCATGTTTTAAACTGTGGGAGGAAAATGGAGTACCCAGAGAAAAGCCACACAAACACGAGGAGAACATGCAAACTCCACACAGAAAGACCTCTGGTCCAACCGGGGATTGAACCCAGGACCTTCTTGCTGTGAAGCAACAGTGCTAACCACCGAGCCTCGTTCTGCCCAATCTGCCTGTCGTTCTGTCATAAAAACAACTGGTAGGAGATCTTAAGAAAAATAAAAAACAATTTAATGACTGCTAACAGCACAACAGCTACAAAAAAAATGCTTTCAGAGTATTTTAGGCTGTTTGATGAGTTCTTGTTTTTGGCTTATTAGCAACACTTCAACCAGCAACTGTTGATTTTGCTTCGGTTGTTTTGTGGAAGTGACGGCACGGTGGCTCAGCTGGTAGAGCTGCTGCCTCTCAGCGAGAAGGTCACTGGTGCAAATCCCAGCCTGGGACCTTTCTGGGTGGAGTCTGCATGTTCTCTCTGTGCATGTGTGGGTTTTCTCCACTTTCCTCCCACAGACCAAAAACATGCATGTTAGGTTGATTGGTAACTCTAAATTGTCTCTAGGTGTGAGTGAGAGAGTGAATGTTTGTCTCGTTTGTCTCCATTTGTCCCTGTGATGGACTGGAGACCTGTCCAGGGTGCCCCTCGCCTCTCACAGTGACTGCTGGATATGGGATCCAGTGACTCCTGTGACTTGAAAAAGAAGAAGTGAGTAAAGCTAATGGATGGATGGAAGGATAGACAGCGTAGAATATAAATTATACCGATTGCTCCTCTTCACTGCAGTGAGTGATCATTTTGGCAGCGATAAGCAAAAGAAAAGGAAAATGACAATGTTTACCTGTCCCACTGTGTGAGCAGCACGTACCTGCATTAGCAGAAATGAAGCCAAGAGCAAAAGGTGTTGTGTCTCCCAGCTGAACGGACACATTAATGTTGAACACGGAGGTGGAGATCATCACAGGAGCATCCAGGTGAGGGAGGCGCCTGAGGAAGAGGAGGATGGGAAAACAATCTAATGGTCTACACAACACAATCATGTAAAAACAAAACGGAGGAAGTGATGAACAAACATGGACAAGAGGAAGAAAAACATTGAATATTCACAGCAGTGGGGTATTTTCAGTATTGACTTTTTAGATGGAACATAAAATACGAGCTTCATATCAAGGCAATGTAAAAACTGACATTTTGATTTTGTGACTTGCCTATTTTTGCGTGTCGTCTTCCTGTGTAAAAGCTGTTGCCATGGAAACAAATTCAACCAATGGGAGAACTCCTGGTGACGGTAGTGAATGATGCAGGTGTTGACTGTGAATGATCCGGAGATGTCAATCGATGTAGCCTGAAACACCAGAGATGCACAAAGAACTTTGAACAACCTATTTATGGTGCTCTGAGCGACTGGCAAACATTTTCCTCACCTGTAAGGTCGTCTTGAGACTGTTCACACACAGAATTCTCTGCCTGCTCTGAGAAAGGAGCAGCCCATCTGTCAGAAAAAAAAAAAAAGAGAGAAATTGTATTTGTTGCGAAAATGCAGTGTGAATGTTTATTACTGAAGAACTTGCTGAAAACAGCTGAAATTTGCAAAAACATGCTGAAATGTAGCTGAAATGGAAGAACAAGCGTAAGTTAGCAAAAGAAAGCAGAAAGCACACATATTTGCCGAATTTGGTTTAAATAAGCAGAAATGGGCACAACCATTGGTGAATTACCGGTAACTTAAAAAAGCTGAAATTAGCAAAAAATAGCTGAAAGGTAGCTGAAAGGGCAGAAAGAAGCTTAAATTACCAGAACTGGAGAGAGCACAGTTGTGCCCAATTAAAGTGAAAGAAGCAGAAATGAGCACAAAAAAAATGGAAATGATCTATAAAAAGCTGAAAAAAAAAAAAAAAGAAACAGCTGAATAGAAGCTAACAAAGCAGAAAGAAGCTTAATTTACAAAAAGAAAGTGGAGAGACCATAATTGTGCCCAATTTAGGCTTAAAGAAGAAGAAATGACCATAACAAGTGGAAATTATCTGGAAAAAAACCCCCAGAAATTAGAAAAAAAAAGCACAGCTGAATAGTAGCTAAAAAAAGCACAAAAAAGCTTAAATTACCAGAAACAAGGGGAGAGAGCATGATTTTGCTGAATTAGGCTGAGAAAAGTTTAAATGGGTGCCAAAAAAAGTGGAATAAGCTGAAAAAGCTAAAATTAGCATAAAACAGTTAAAAAGTATCTGAAATAGCTGAAACTTGCAGAAATAACCTGAAAGGAGCAGAACAAGCTGAAATAAGTTAGAAAAAATACAAAAATGTTGTACGGTAGTTAGCAGATTAAATCTGAAAGGAGAACAAAAGAGCTGAAATTAGTTGAAATCAGCTGAATTTAAAAAAATTCACAAGGAAGCTGAAAGAAGCTGATCTGGCACAAAATGTGAAAGGAGCAGTAAAAGGTGTAAACATCTAAAAATCTAAAGGATGTAAAATGAGCTCAATTCATTTTCTATGAGACAAAAAGTGGCAGAAAAAGCTAAATATCTCAAAAAGCTAAAGTTGCACCGATACCAAAAGTCAGAGCAGGATTGTCCTGAAAGAGCTGAATGTTTTAGGATTTGTTGAAATAGCACAAAAATTGTGGAACAAGAAAGATGCTGAAAAACGTACGGAATAGTTAAAGTAACTGGAAGAAGTCGAAAGAAGAATATAAACAGGATCACAATAGTGTGAATGCTTAATAAGCAATCACACAACAAGAACATGTTATTCATAGCTTTTGCCACAGTCTGAGTTTCTGCAACGCTTCAGCTGTCCACCAACCCTCGAGGAGAAGCTCCAGGCTGCTCTGAGGGAAGCTCAGCTCAGGAGTGAAGCTTTTCAGAGGCTGCTGCTCGTCGTCGCGCCCGTAGTACATCTTCAAGGACTTCAGAGTCCAGTTCAAGTGTCTGTACACATTGTCAAACAAAGCGTTATAAAACTGTTCAATCAGCAGGAATTTAAACAGTTATCAAATTACACAAAGCAATGACCGTGTGGGGAGTAATCCAACCTCGGTAAACTGATGACTCACCGTTTCTGGCTGTGCATGGACAGGATGACGTTTGTATTTTCAAATTCCACGTCCACTTGGTGGGGAAGCAGCTGGTGAAACTGTTCGACAGCTTCAGTCTGAATGAAGTCATCCTCTTCACACTCTGCAAGGAGTCGGCATAAACGTGACTAGTCAGTGAATTTTAACAAAAATAAATCAGGTCAACAGTTGCAAAAAACAGAAATCAAGAAAACTTGATGCAATAAATGCATCATATTTTAACCAGTTTTACACTGAACATTTTTCAAAACTACACTAAAACTTTATTTTTTAAGCATCAACAGAAGGCAGATTTTAGTTAATTTCTTTTGCATATTAAAAAAATAAAAATCTGTGAAAATTATAGCGGAAGATTAAATCTATTTCTATTTTTTTTTTCTGCTCGTCTAAAACCGTCTACATGGAAAAACTTGTGGGTTTGTGTGTCTGCTGCCTTTTTTATATTCTTAAATGTGTCAGCTTAAATCTGTTCCATAAAAATAAAAAAAACAGTAAAAAAATAAAAATTATATAGACATAAAAACATTTTAAAAGTTTATTTCACTCCATCTTTTTTCTGATTGTGTGATGAATGTAAAACTTTGCTGTCTTTGAGTTTTGGGGATGTTGCGGATTAATCATTAAAGACATTTAACACACGCAGAGCTCAGTACAACCCAAAGACTTGAACTTTACAAAGAGCTAAAAATATCCCAGGTCAGGGAAATTATTCAGGCAAAGTAAGTAAAAGACCAGATGTAACAGGCCATAGTAGAGAAGGCAGTCAAACTTGGTTTTTCATTCATTTAATACCCCACAATACCTAAAATTGGTTATGCATGTTTAAGACAGGATTGAAGCTCTTAAGAATTAGTTTAATCTATAGTCATAACTACATAATTATTTTTTTTACATATGCACCAAACCATTAAAGATCAATAAAAATGGCAACATTTAAATGAGGTTTATGTATTTATTTTTTTAAGACAAAAAACTAAATAACCTCTTTATGCATTCAAAATCTCACTCACCAGACACGGGATGGTCTTGGTTCTTTGTAGCGATGGGGGGCAGCAGCTGTTGGCTGAGGAACAAGCCCTCGTGCAGCTCGGCTGTAAGCGTCCTCACGTTCAGGGACAGAGAGCCAGGCTTCATCTCTGGTAGGCTCACATCTCCAGACAGCAGCAGGCTCAGGGCTAACTCAGCCAAACATATATCCTACAACCAGGAGCGCATCGGTCACACACACAAACACAGGTTTCAATAGCAACAAGATATCTCTGAATATAAACACCTCAGACTGAGGAAGTCTTTCGGATGAAAGACGAAACGTTTCTACATTTTTTTGTTGTCGTTTTGTTTTTTGAATGTCCAGAGGACCAGATTTAACTTTTTTAGATATAGCAACAAGAGTTAATGAACTCACCAGTTCACTGCTTTTGAGCACTTTACTGCTGAGCTGCCCCACTGAGAAGTTCCATGCTAACCTGTAAAACATATTAGTTGTTTTTTATATACTTAAATCAAATTATTATTGAATAAAAACAAGATCTTACCTTTTACTTTGATGGTCGAGTAACAAGGTGATACCTGTAACAGTCATATGCCACAGAGACTCTGACAGTGCCAAGTTTAACACCATCACGTTGATTGAGCTGACATGAAATGACAGCAGCTGTAGGCATAAAAAAATTAAATAAAAATTAAATTCTGACACCAAATCATCAAAAACGTAGCCCTGACCCAGTATGAGCCTTCATACCTGTGACAGAAAACGGAGTGTCTTTGGGTTGACTGCATTTTTTTTCTTTCCACGGCTGGTCTTCACCAGAGGTCCCAGTGGTGCTTGGAGGTCAAACCGAATTCTCGTGTCACCAACACACAACGCCAGGTATCTCCTGAAAAACAAAGTGATTAGATTCAGATATGTTTACTTAATAGGTAAACAATTGTTGGGAAAGGCACTGTGGAAGTCAGTTCCACAGAGAGGAAGGGAGCAGCCGAAAGAAACTTAAGTTTACCTAAGCAGCTGTTAATTACTTGCTGAAAAGCTGTACAGAAGAAACAAAACAACTTACGGTAGATCTTGGTTGAGAAGTTTACTTGAAATCCATATTCGGTCAATTTCCTGTCACAAAAAAAACAAACAAACAAAAAAAGAGTTGTTCCTTATTTCTAAATATTTTCCTCCCAAAGAGTTAATTGTACTTATAATATTTCATAGTGGTCTTCATCTACAGTTCTTCAGGCTTCAGATCGTCTTTGGCTGCTTTTCAGCCACTTTAAGTCCTTTAGTACTTGATCATTTTAAAAACATTTTTTGGTTAAGTCACTTGTCTCTGGAAGAAGTTTGATCTATGAATCATTCAGACAAACAGGTGCTCAAAAACTCAAGGAGTGAACCAGGTGCAAGTTGACACACAACACTTGTTTGAAAAATCTTTTTACAATTGATTCTTTTACACATTTGTGCGTTGGGGTTTTTCCTCCGGTAGATGAGTGGGCAGCTTCCCTGTGAGCTCTGATTTGTTTGTGTCTATGTGCCAAATGGAAGTTCAGAGTAACCAGCCTTCCTGCTGGGGGACTTCAATGCCCACTTGGGTAGTGCCAGTGTAACCTGGAGGAGCATGATTGGGAGCAACGGTCTCACACATCTGAACCCGAGCAGTGTTCTGTTGTTGGACTTCTGCACTGGTGATGGTTTATCCATCACCATGTTCAAACATGGTGATGGATAAGTGCGCATGAAACCAGGACACCCTTGGCCAGAGATTGATGATAGATCGATCATACTTTCTCATTTGCAGAGAGCAGATCACAGAGGAAGAAGTCAGAAAGAGTTGGTAAACCCAAACTTGTAGAACCCATCAGAAGGCTCTTCATCTCCCACAGAAATTCAACCACATCCCAGTGGACGCTGAGTTTCAGTGGGGTGTTTTCCATGCCTCCATTGTTGAGGCAGTTGTCTTGCGCTATGGTTGCAAGCTGTTGCTCGAACCACTGGTACGGATGTCACCTGTTCCAGGCATGTCCAACTAAAAGGAGAGCCTGGGGAAGATCCATGACATACTGGACAGACTAAAGTCTCTCAGCTAGCTTGAGAACGATTCAGAATCAGTCCAGAAGAGCCGGAAAAGCTGGCTGTGGAAAATGTCTGGTCCATCCGGTTCAAGCTGCTGCCCCCATGACCCGACACCAGAACAAGCGCCAGATCATGGCTGAATACATGGTTTAAAACTTTTGTACTGCACTGTAATAATGACAACTTAAAACCTGTTGTTGCCACTGAAACTGGCGTGAACTCCTAACTCAGTTTGTCTTACCAGTGTGTGTTGGGGGTAAAACTGGATACTAACTCCCTGGACTGAGAACAGTCCAACTGATTTGATCTTAAGGTCTGCATTCAGTGCAGTCTGGAAGAGCCGCACCACCAAGGTACAGACCAACCACCTGGACAGAAACACACAATGATTGATAGTACAGTCCTTCAAAGTTTAAACAAATGGGTTGCAATTTGTAAAATGTGCTTTTCAATCAACAATAGTGTGAAAACCTGAAACCTTACCTGAAAGCGATGCATAACACAATCCCAAGCAGCAAAATAAGAAGGAAAGACAGGAACACAAGAGACATTGTGTCCCAAGTTGTTCACACCCAAATCCTGGACATGAGTCTGGCTTGTTCTTCTCTGCTGCCAAGAGGCAACAAATTTAAACACAAACCATGCGGACAGGCGTCAAGCACAGAATACCAGCACAGAGAAACGCACAAGTTCCCTATCACTGTGTCTAACCTAAAAGCACAACAACCATGCAAAATAAAAATCTCCAGATGTATGCTAACGATAACAACAAACCTCTAAAGTATGCTAACGTGTGCAGCAAACCTCTGAAGTGCCAGCGTCGCGAAATAAAGTTGTTAAACGAAAAGCGACGAAGCTCAACTTTATGTTACAAACTAGCTAACGGTGTGCAAACGCTGCTCCCCGTTCGTTTCCTTGTCACCTGAGAGAAAACAGGTTAATTGTTGACAACGGGAAGCACCGCTAGCCTGAACTAGTCAAACATGAAACAGTTAAATCTGTTTCTTCGCCCGCCGCGTCACCGGAAACAACGTTAGCCAGCTAGCATGCTAACGCCACGGCTAACAGCACACTGCAGTCGGTCGCGAGACCAGCTCACGAGACCGCGGTAAAGTTTTACGATGGACGTGGTGCTCACGAGCTGTTTTATAATCCTGGCCAAATATGATCACGAAAATAAATGGAGTGAAAAAAAAAATCACCTCATTTAATAATTTAAAAGAAACTAACTTAAAAACATATATTGCCTCTGTTGAAAAACTTAATTTAAATAATCAGAAACTTGTAAAAGCAATAACTTAAGAAATTTAACTATCTCAAAAACAGACATTGTTTTGTTGTAACAGACCCTTTATTATAAGAATTTGAATGTAGTATTTGCGCATTTGTTAAGAGAATAGTGTTTGTATAAACTAAAAGAGACACATTATTGTATTTTACCCATTTATATACAATTTTATTTAACCTTTTTTTTTTTTACTTTTTTATGTTGTAGATTGCAAGACCTTAGCCCCAATATTGCCAATAATGTTTTGTGGTTATTTTATATTATTTATGTATCAATATTCCTGTTTTTTTTTTTTTTTGTACTCTTGATATCTTATTTACTTATATGTAACGTTATTTGTTCGAAATAAAGTACTTTTTGCAAACAAACAAACAAACAAAAAAAAAACCTCACGAGCTATCTCATGTCGTTTGACTGTTTTTTGTGTTTGTTTTATTGAAAGTACAAAATTGACACTAAATGAATACAATTACAGAACTGTTGTTGTGGAACAAAAGAAGAAGAAGAAAAAAACATTTTAACGGATGGGTTTATTTGTGACAGCTGCTCAGACATGAAAATCATTTAAATGGACACTGTCTTCTCATAAATCTGCAGCTGATTATTTAAAATTTTAAGATAATTCATGAGGTAAAAGTCCAACAATTGAGTTTTCCATCCAGCTGCACGAAGGACCACGCTCGGATTTATGCATCTCACAATGAAATAGTATATGTACTATTTCATTTATACTTTTTTAATATACTATTATCTGACGTTATGGAAGCTCATTTCTGACTCTGAAAAACAAAGTTAAGACATTTTGTGATACTAATTCACAATTACTACTTAGCATCTCATAATTACAAGAAAACAAACTTATAATTTAACACCTCATAATATTGAAATAGTATATCAGCTATTTCAGTACTTGCTTTTGCCGAGGTCGGACGCTTTCCCTTCCCCTCCCTCTCCGCTTTGCTTTGCTGCTCTGTCTGTCTGTGAAACTGCTTCTGAGCCTCTCTCTACCTTCTGAACCATAATTATGGACTTGTTTTGATCAGTTGGTCCCTCAACACAATTGATAACATTTCAAAGAAGAGAAGACAGGCTTTAGATGAGCCGATTTGCCCTGTTGGCGCGCACGCAGCTGGATAGCTCATCGACTTGGAAGACTTGATGATGTGTCTATCTCAGCTGCCATTTGTGGATTTTAAGGATGCATATTTAATTGGATTTGCGATAATTGGTTCCTGCTTTTTGGATTCGGCTGGTTGCTGGTTTTATCAACAATCACAAAAGTCGTCTGCAGCAATTTGGGACCCGATCACGCTGCTTGCTTTATGATGGCTTGGTTCGTGCCTCGAGTACCCAGACTCAAAAGCTTTGGGCAGAATGGATCAGATCTCGGGGATTTTACTCAGGCACGTTCCATCGGTGTGGTCATGTAATTTGGACATTTCTGAACCGTTTGGACCAACACAGACTCAAGGTAGATGTCATTAAGTTCTGCTTGCTCCCAAAACAACTATGTGTTTATCTGAATTTGGCTCCCTTGAAGGTCATATTATCTGAATTTGCCTGGAGAACATGTGATCTGACGCTCACCACCCCCTCCCTGAGGAATTTCCAACTGATAACCAGATGAAACCAGCTGAATAAACTTGTGTCATCATTTCAGGACTCTTGGATTCTCATAGTCGTTATCCTTGGCTATTCCCCGACATTCCTCGAGAATGTTTACCAATCTCACCGGAGGAAACTGACTGATTATTCCATCCTTATCAGAACTCTTACAGTGCCCTCGAGAGCGTCCAAGGACATTGCTCACCGCTCTCGTCGTCTCCCCCCTCTGTGGAATGTCTACGTCACTATGTGCTGTTTGTGTGAGGTGTTTTTTAATATTAGTTTTTCTTCTCAGCCTAGAAGAAAGAGTTTAATAGGAATTTTTTCGCCTCCAATTCCTACGTGTCCAGTTTCACTATTTTTTGTTTGTCTAAACAGATCTCACTTGTAAATGAGTCTTCTAGGCTCAATGTGACTTATCTGTCTAAATAAAAGGTTAAATGAACGAAAAACCCTCAAAATTATGACAGCATTTATTACTATGCTATCTCATATAAATATTAGCACCTCATAATTAGTTTATGTGATAGTATCTCACAATGAACTAGTAGTATCATAATTCTGAGAAGGTATCACACAATTATGAAATAATACTTTATATTAAGGATATAGATTTTAATCAGGTACCATTTCAAAACGACATCTTGGTATTTTTTGAGATGCTATGCTATAGTCTAAAGATACAGACTAGAGCAGGGCTATTCAACTAAATTGCTAAGTGGGCCACATTTACTGAAAGCCAGCAGCTCAATGGCTGGACATCCAGTCTTGTCATTACAAATATTTATTTAAAAAAAAAATCAATTTTAATTTTAAATAAACTCACTGAGATATGAACAGAGTTGTAATTTTCTGTCATATAACAGGAACACTTCTGAAAGAAGTGTTTGCCTTTTCAGATTTTGAAAATGTTTCTCACCGACTTTTTCTGATTTAAACAGTTCTATTTTAACTGAACTCACTCATGGACCAGATGTGGGATCCAATTGAATAACCCTACACATTTTTTTTGCCCCTTCTTCCTCAGAGTGGCAGAAACGGGCTTTCAAAAAGATGTAAAACATTCAATCTGGATGTAGCTGGGATGTATTAATTTGTAAAAACTGCCCCTCAAAATACATCCATTAATAAAGTTATTTTGTATTATTTTTACATTCTCATGCTGTTTTCAAACACACACCAACAAAACTAATTTTTTGTTTGTTTGCGTGGCATATTTATTTAAATAGTTGTTTTTAGGAAAGTACAACAAATAGTAGCTGACACACAAAAACAGCAGACAGACAGTCCAACATCAGATATTATGACTATACTATGAGAAAAATGTACAGAAATAATTTCTCTTGTGGTTCTGGATAAATTGTCATGGTTTAAAAAAGTATGCTTTAATAATCAAACTGAAATAAATTAGATATTTTTTGAGAAACACTGATCAAATTCAGCAAGTTGTCCTTTGCAGTGGTTCATATCATGGTTATTCAGGAAGATTAATCGGACTTCCAGCCCGAGCACAACAGAGTTAACATTATGAAAAGATGTCAGCCATGAGCATCCGGTTCAGGAGATTATCATCAAGTGAACAGATGAGAAAAGCATCTCATGCAGCAGCCTTCTGTTTGTTATGCTTGGCAAACCATTCGTCACTTTTATCTTCAGCCATGGCCTGAAATAAAACAAAAAAACATGAAGACAGTGAATAATCACCACATGTTGCTCATTTCTTTTTAAATAAGGACTTGCCCACCTTATCAAGCAATTCACTTCCTTTATGATCCACAGCAGAAAGCTGCCTGAACGCCTCATCTCCCACAAAACAAATCTCGTGACCGTCCTAAAATAAAAGCATAAAATATTACTATAATAAATAAATATTTTTACACGACTAAAACATTTTATAACACTTACCGGGTCAGCTAAAATAACGACTTCTACTGTGGCTTTTCCAGGAGTGTCCAGGCTGACTAATGGAGTGAGGATTTTCTGATTTTCTGTTTTCATCAAGGCTTCAATACCAGGCAACTGTAAAATGTAAATAATAAAGTTATACTCAAGATGATATTTCTACAAAAGTAAACCAAAGATTTATTCAAGAAACTAAATTGTACTTGTTCTCGTGGACATGAAAATGCAATCCTCCCAAACGCTGTTCCGTGATCGACCGTTCCACTGATATCCCGAAGCTCCAATTTACACTACGAAAAAAAAACCATCTACATTAAACACACAATAAAATTATCTAGTCCTCCATGTAGAATGTGATTGAATATGTAAACTTTCACAGCACAGCTTTTATTAGTTTGTCTTAGATCCTTTTATCACAATCTGAAGAAAAAAAATTTGCAAAAATAATTACAGGTGCTCATTTTTGTGACTCACTTGAGAATCTGCAAATCCCAACAACACCGTCTTGTTTTTCTCACTTTTCTCCATCACTGTCATTCCTAAGAGCGTAGCCCAGTAATGAGTTGATCTGTGGAGGTCCGACACACCGAGGGAAACTTTCTGCACAGGGTCTGGAAACAGATTAGTTACAGATTAGGCACTAATTAAAGAAATTGCAGCAGATTACACTAATCATCCGAACACACTGTACACATTCATGTTTCTCCTGCTCATTTTAAAATTGCTGTCTTTTGTTTTCTAAAGTTTTTCCAGGAGCAACTTATATTATTATTTTGAAGACATATGACCATTTTCCATATTATTAGGTAAAGACCCAAATGAAGTAGTCTGTCAGTTTGATTAGGTGGCAATAAAATAAAGATTTCAACAAAGAGGCAAGTAAATCTGAGAAACTGATGCAATAATTATTTTATATTTGTTATTTTTATGACAAACTGCTAGACGGAGTAATTCCAGAGTAATACTGCTTCACAGATCTACTACAAGGTAATAAAATAATACAAAAACAGAAGTGATTATGTAGGCATAAACAAATAAAATACATAAGAGAGAGGTGTTCCCAAAGAGGTTAATAATAATAATAATATGAAAACAAACAATAAGGAAACAGTAATAATGATTGTAGCAACATGTAAAATCAACACTGTGTGCAATTTTATCTTTAATATGAAAGTGCTATGTATTTCCATCGATGCATGTGCCCATATTATTACCATCAAGCTGTTAACAAGACCTGCTAACAAGAATGCTGCCAACAGAACAGAACCATGCTGCTGAAAGAACCTCACTGCTAACCGAACCACACTGTAGATGTATTTCTTTTTCACTTTTGGTGCCTTGGTTTTTTTTTTGTATTTTTACTGCATCATTTGGTATTTCTTGTTGTCATTTCTGTTTTGGCGAGTCGAGACGGTTCTTCTCGTTCTCAGCATTTCATTGCATTGTTGACCTTGTGATGATTTTTGCATACGAAAAAGAACCAAACCTGAACCATACAACGACAGCATTTGTTCTCTGCATTTAAGCCATCACACGTGAAATACACACAAGTGGAGCAATATGCAGCTTAGGGAATAGGCTCTTTGCTCAAGGGCAGGGCAATGAACTGGTCATTTTCTGGTCCCAATCAGACACATGATATAACTAATCATATACCATGTGCAATTATTCTGTACATTATACATGATGAGCCAGATCTGGATGGATTATTTTTTAAGCTGGATTTATAAACTCCGGATGAACTATAATAAAAGGAGAGACAAAGATAGACGTTCACCATGAGGAGGCTGGTCTTTGTCCACAATGTAGAAAGGATATCCTCCAGGAGCGTGGGTCAAATACAGAGCTTCCTCCACCTGAGCGAGGGGCCACCCGAGTCGTTTGGCATTGCTTACGGCTTGGCTGGACTGTAGTGTGAGACCCTAATAGGAAAACACAGATAGTTGTTTATTTTCACTGCACACCACATATCAGGGCCTTTGTAGATGGTTGTCCTTTTAAGTCTCACTCACCAAGAAGTCATTGCCAAGTTGATATTCTCCAATTCCGTAATTGTATGTCAGTTCAGCCACAAAATGGTTTTCCTCTGGACCAAAGCCAACCATTGTCTTGCTCCATTTTCCATCATAGGGACTGAAGGGATAAACAGAGGATCTCTGTTTAGTTAAAATACTTCAATAAGTACAAAGTTCAGTTTAATCAGTGTGAGCCTACCCATTGCAAGTTGCTTTACAGCCTTCTTCAAACTCCTCATGCCGTAAAACCTGAATGCGTTAAGAAAATAAATACTGCTTACCAAGAAAAAGATATGTAGTTTTTCAATTATATAAATTCTGAGCTGAGGAAGTCTCTGCAACAACAGTTGTGCAGCTAGTGGCACGAAGATCATCAAAAGTTGAAGCTAACGGTGACTCAAATAACACGTCTTCACTTTAAATGCAGTTCAGAAAGAATACCTTCATGCCCAAGACATCTCGGTAAAACGTGGCTGTTCTGACCCGGTCACCAACTTTGAAAACAAAATGCAATGCTCTTCTCATAGACATCCTTCTTGATTTCCGTGCAGGGCGCGATTACGCTTCCTTAATGATCGATTTATCCGTTTTCGACTGGGTAAATACCAACGAACAAAATAACAAACAAAAAACAATTTAAACCGCCCACACCGATACTTGAAATTATAGTATCACTATTATTACTAACAATAGCATTAGTCCAATTAGGCTAAACAAAATAACCGGCTGAGTACTAAACTTTTTGGCAATCATTAAAAACATTGCAAACCCCCTCACACGATCATAATGGTATCACCCAGTAAAATATCGCGACATTACAGTAGAGCACTTTGTAAAGTTTGCACCTGGTTTGCACCATGCTACAGCATATTTAAAAATGTTTACTACGAGATATAATCCGTTATTAGATAAAATTATTGTGTTCTAAATATATAAATTATTTATTTAGAATTGTCTAAAAAAATAAAAACTACGGGGTAAGTGCAGCTATCATCCAACAGGTGGCAGTAACGAGTTTAACCGGAATTACAGCAACTTCGATTGGTTGAGAGAAGAAGGTAAAAAATGGCTGCGTTCATGAGAGGCGTGAAATGCCTTGTTTCCACAGAGCGAAATGTTCTTCTAATTAAGAGGAGCGGCATTTTTATTGAATCTAAACGGTATGTGCGCGGACTGAAAAGGAAACCCGTCAATGTGTTGTTTCCTGAAAACGAGCCGGGAAAAGTAGTGAAGCCTCCGTCAGAGACTCGTGTTAAGAAGCCAGCAGAGAAACAAAATGCGACAAGAATCACCTCTAAAACTACAGAGTATTTTGAGAAAGATGACTCTGTTAAGACGAGCAGCCCTGATCAGTCGACTGTAAGGCGTCCCCAGGTTTCTGCAGCAAAGAGCCAACTTGATGGACTGCACATCGAGAGTGCCTTTCCTGGAGATAAAAGACTATCGTAAGGAAAAAAATAGATATTTGAGTAGTAGCTCAGATATTTATAAATTTTTCAATGTAACATTTTTAAACTGTGTGTGGAAACTTAAACTGTGATTAAATAATGAAAAGTTCAGTCTGTCAAACGTGGGCAATATATGGCCCGCGGGCCAAAAGGGGCCCTTGCGCAATCACCATTCGGCCCCAATATTCTTATGGAAAAAAAACATCTTAAGTAAGTTGATGAGCACCAGCAGTTTTTCAATGAAACTTAAGGTAGTCCAAATGAAACGTCTTGGATACAAATAAATAAATAAATTTTTGGATTAAGATTGCCTGCAACTTTTTTTTTTTTTTTTTAAGTTTTTGCTTATAACAAATGAATTGTCACAAGAGCCTGAAAAAAAACTTTCTGTCTTGAAGACAATTTGTTTACCAATTTTATGTGCAGCCCTTGAATTGCTTTAAATGTCTTGATTTGGCCAACTGGAAAATAAATATTGTCCACCTCTGGACTAAGTAATCTGTTGTTCACATTAATGATGATAATATCAACAGGGATAAAACTTGAAGCAACTTTTTTCTTTCAGTTTAGTTTTTTAGGTAATTGCCATTTATATTTGTTATCTAGCTGTAACACAAAATTATATCAGTTTAAGATAGTTACCATAGAAAGGTGTGTCTTAAGAGTGTCTAATATTTATAGTTAATAAGCATGTTTGTCAGTAACGTGATCATAAAACCAAAAGAGATGGCACCAATGTTCACGCTGTTTCTTCTTTTCCCCGCACGCAGGAGATTAGTAAGTGTTGCTCGGTCTAGAACATTTCGGGAGCGCCAGGGCAAAATCCTCCTGGAGGGCCGACGTTTGATCTGCGACGCTCTGGAGGCTGGTGCCAGCCCACAGACGGTGTTCTTCAGTACCCTGGATCGGCTTCAAGAGCTGCCTCTAGACAAGCTGAGGAGAGCCACACTGATCAAAGTCAAGTTTGATAGCATCAAGACCTGGTCTGAACTTGTTGCTCCACAAGGAGTCATTGGTAAGGATTATTATTTTGTGGGGGTGGGGTGGGAGGTTGGCATTTTGCTTTAAAGTACAGGTATTCCGAGTTGTTTCTGTGTATTTTTTTTAACTAATGTGTTCTGCAGCCATATTTTCTCGTCCGGACCCGACCCACATTAACTATCCCCAAAGAGATGAGTCAGTGCCATTGTGTCTGATATGTGACAACATCCGGGACCCTGGTAATCTTGGAACAATGCTCCGATCTGCTGCTGCTGCCGGCTGCAGTAAAGTCCTCCTCACCAAAGGTATGCTCATTTTAATAATTAAAAACCACACTCTGTGTCTGCTGTTTTCCTAAATGCTTATTTATTTGCCAACAGGTTGTGTTGACGCTTGGGAGCCTAAAGTTCTTCGTGCAGCCATGGGGGCCCATTTCCGTTTTCCCATCTATCCCCATCTGGACTGGGATGACGTTGAAGATCATCTACCCAAATCAGTGATCGTCCACGTGGCTGACAGTGGCCCCATCATAAGAACAGACACTGAGGAAAATGTGTCTTGCAAAGCAGGAGACTACAATTGGGTCAGCTCAAGGCCAAATAAGAAAAAGGTTCAGTACGAGGATTACGATACTGACTCTGACTCTGACTCTGATTCTGATTCAGAGTCTGAAGATGAGGACCTTTCCCTCCCCAGTGTGGAAACCAAGCTGTACCATGAGAGCTGGGCTCAGGGCTCCACGGCTCTTGTCATTGGTGGTGAGACACACGGTCTGAGCCACAAAGCGGTCCAGTTAGCGGAGAAAACAGATGGTCGTAGGCTCTTTATTCCTGTCGTTCACAGTGTGGACAGTTTGAACTCTGCTATGGCGGCCAGTATCCTTGTATTTGAGGGCAGGAGGCAGCTGTTGCAGCTTCTGCAGACATCCGGGAAGAAACCGCGATCCAAAGCTGAGAGGCTGCTTTCATGATGTTCCCCTAAATATCAAACCGAGTGGAATCATTTTGATCGTACATTCTGTCCTGCAATGAAATGTTGACGTTGAATTGATTCATAAAGCTCATACCTGTTGTTGAATCCATGTTTGTGTTCATATTTTATTATTTGGACAAGTTCTGTTACTTAATTCAAGGATTTTTAATTAAATGTTAGAGAAGCAGCTAATTTAACTTTTATGAATCCATACTTAAGTCATTTGTCTTTTAGTCTAAATATGTGTAACCACAACTAAAAATGTTGCGTAAAGTAGTTATTACCTGATGGTTTGAATAAACGAATCTTTTCCTGTTTCTGTAAATTTAAAAATACACTTTAGCTAAGAGTTTTACATTGCCCCTAAAAGCTTTTTATAACTTTTTTTCACGAAACTGGTTTTCATTCTTCTGAACAATTACAGCAGCCATCTTGTAAACTGTCATGTATACGAGGTAGATATGAGAACGGTAAGAAAACACAAATCGTTTATTTCCAGGAGCTACATCAACTGGTTACTATAGCAACTAAAAGAGCAAAGATGTTAAGTATGAACTTTATCACAGAGACGCTGCCGAGTACAACAAAACAAATGTGAAAAGGTTTTATCCCAACTTGAGTTTGCACATTTCCCAAACTCCATAGACTTTAAAAGCTAATTAAAAAAAAAAAGTTCTTCCAACATCTTAACGGCAGAGGTTCTTTACATTTTAATACGACCATCTTAAGACCGGACGGGCTGTTGCGGCACCAGTCATTCGTCTGGAGTTTCTTGTCTGAGCTCTAAATTGATAACTAAATGTCAAACTGTACGGTCGGATGTTTTATGGATTAGCGTTGATTCCTATTCATTTTAAGGTTATGAGGTCAAAGGTCACAAGTGACCTCTGTCGAAACCTTATCTATGCTACAGTTTGACCTCTTTTGTAACAAAACCGGCCCTTTGGTCCATATATTGTCTCCGTCTGTCCATCCGTAAGACCGCAACAGTCGTCCTCAGTGTAACTCCAACAAATGTTTAGGATAGAAAACTTGACTCCACGTTGGATTATATTTTTATTAATACCTGTTGAACTAAAAAGATCGTGAGCAGCTCATGTCTACTACTCTGATCATAAACTGGTTTGGAGAGACTGGCAGTCATCAACAGCAAAATCCTTTACGTTGCAACTGGCAGCTCATACACATATGTTCATTGTTCATACATGCACTGTGGTGAAATTGACCTTTCACCCCGCCACAGTCATGTACACAGTAGTCCATCGCTACTTCATGGTTTTTCAATGATTGCCAACTTTAATATTACCGGTGCTCACGTGATTGGGACGGTACGGGATAAAAAGTTAATGGAAAAATAAATAAATCGGACAGGTGCTGCCATTTTGTAGTTTTCTTTCAATAAGCCTATACAGTAATGCCAGACAAAAGGATTACACTACCCAGAAGCCAACAGTGCTGGCCACTGCTTTCTGTCAAAATGGAGGGAAAGTTTTGCACCTCAAAGTCAAAACGATCTATGAAGCTCACAGAACTGGCAGGAAAGTCGCAAATAATCCTGAAGCTCAATTATCCACGTGCACGTCAACCTGGACTGGTGGGCTTCGTCGCTGCAGGGAAGCTCTGCAGAACTGGAACTGAGCTGCTGTTCTGCAGAGCTGGTGAGCAAAATTTTGCAGTACTGTACGTACAGTACATATTTAGAGGTAGAATCATCTAGTCGACTAGTCACTTCTGGGACATCTCACAAGTTTAATTTCACGTCGACTAGTAACAGTCGCGTCACTGTCACATGATCAGCGGAGGAGGAGGATATGCCCAATAATCAGAAAAGGTGACCGGAAAAAAAAAAAAAAAACAGACTTGAGGATTTTGTGCAACTTTTTGGGCATTTCCAGAGTGACAGGAGATCAGCACACTGCTCCACTGCTGCCAAAGAGGTCCGTGATTGTTTTTTTTTGTTACCACAGATTCCCACCATGGCGAACCCGCTGCAGTGGTGGGCCAGCAATCAGGACAGATTTCCCTGTTTGGCAAAACTCAGCAAATGGTATTCAGCTGTTCCAGCAACCAGCACTCCCAGCGAGAGAAGCTTCTCTCTTGCTGGGAATACCATTACTCGAAAACGGACAAACCTTCATCCTGCTCATGTTGATGCGCTTGTTTTCTTACACGTAAACCAGGATCGAAAACCAAAAACTGCAAACGAGGAGACTGTTGACAGCGAGTGAACTTTGTGAACGAAATAAAATAATTCCACCACCGCGCCCGTTTTTAGTTTTGTTGTTTTTACGTGCTGCATGTTTCTTTCACTTTTTCAGACTAATAATAGTTTGGTTTTCCTGTGACTTATTTGCAGTATGATAAATGGTAGGAGCATAAAAATACGCTCTCCATGTTTTGTTGTTCTTTTTTTTTTTTGTAAATAATAAATGACGTTTTTTGCAAATATGATAGTGAGTTCCTATGACGTCACAGCAACTAGTCGACGCCGACTCTTTATCATGTTGAAGTCGACTTAAAAAAATGTGAAGTCGTGCAACCCCTAGTACATATGCTGTTAAAATGATGTAGGTTTAAGAGTTCAGAACATTGCAAGAGTGTGGGAAGTGTTTCTAAAGCCTTAATATATTAAATATAGCGTCTATTTTTCACCTACCATGGTGGTGTGCGGAACGTAACCCCTGCAATGATCAAGGGACTACAGTATAGTTGTATCCAAGACATCCTTGTAAAAGAAATTAATAATTTCAATGGATTTCTTCCTGGTAAAATAAAGGTTTAATAAACTTAAAAGACATACATTCAGGATTGTTGTTTGAGGGAATTCATGCTTTGAATTTTGATTAAAAAAAATTCACAGACGGGTGTATTTTGTACCGTTAGCTGCACTAAAGACTCAACAAGAACCAAACTGTGCTTTCAAGTGAGTTTTAATGTCTACTGAATGTGACCAAAGTAACAGAATATAAAGATTTACACATTCAACACTTCAAAATTCTATTTTTGTGCCAGAAAAAGTTTTTTTTTTTTTCTTTTTAATTTAAATTATTAGGGGACCTTCACAGAAAATCCTCTAAAAACGACTGAGATGAGAACCGTCATTAACAATCAGAGATAACTCACGCTCACATTGTGACAAGACATGGGTGGTAAAACATCACTCAAGCAAAAGGTGTGCTATTTACTGGGTGTGCACCTGCGGGTTTTATTTAAATAGGGATTTACAGGTGAAGGTTTTGGCCGTCTGCGCTACACGTGGACAACAAAGGCGTTTAATTATTTCCTAACGTCATTCAGAAACCAAACGTCACAGATTCTGCAGTCAAAACAGCAAGCAAAGCATTAACAAGTAGGTCCACTGGGTAATTTTCTGCGTAGTTCAGAAAAGCTATTGTGTAAAAATATAAAAACAAAAGAACAAAATCTTCATATATATTACTGTATGGACTATAGTCAATGCAAGGCACCACAGGAGGGAGAAGGACTCGGTGAAAAGGGAAAATGTTAAAAAAATATGTAAAAGTGAGACTTTTTCTAACAGTCGGGGAGGGGGGAGGTGTTTGAGAGGCTGAAACTGGTGACGGGGGTGTATGAACAGGTCAGAGCTGCAGTCCCATTGACTAATGTTCGATTTCTGCTCGGACCCTCAGTCTCAGATGGGCTCCGGTTTGAGCTTTTCAGTCAGAAAGTCGCCGACGAATTGCTCCACTACGGCCGGAGTGATCTCCTCCACGTCGCGTACGTACTTGGCACGAGCCGACATGTCCAGGATGGTGAGCAGAGGAGCTGCCTCCGGGAGGTTGGTGTAGTCTCGCAGTGAGTCGGACATGTCGTCCTGCAGTGAAGACAGGACAATAAGACAGTTTAGTTTTAGACGTGTACTTGGAAAATCCTTTAAAATGGTTCCAAAAATTCATCTCAGGAAACAAAAATATCTTCCTTTCAATTAAATACTGGTCACAAGAAGTTCACCAACTTTTTTTGTTTGTTTACTTTTTAATTTTTAGCCATCTTTAAAACCTCAGACCAACGTGACAATACCACCTGGGTGACACAGTTGATTCATGCAAAAACATAAAAATAAAAAAACTAGAGAAATTGCATTTCCTGCAAAAATGCAGTGTGACTGTTTATTGATGAAGAACTTGCTGAAAAACAGATTAAATTAGCTAAAACATGTTGCAATACAGCTGAAATGGAAGACAAAGTCTAAATTAGCAGAAGAAAGCACAAAGAACACATATTTCCTGAATTAGAATTAAACATGCAGAAATGAGCACAAAAATTAGGAAATTATCTAAAAAAAAGCAGAAATTAGTAAAAATTGCTGAAAAGTAGCTGAAAAGGCAGAAAGAAGCTTGAACTACCAGAAGGAAGTGAAGATGAAATGAGCTGGAAAAAATGTGAAATTAGCTGAAAAAGCTAAATTTAGCACAAAACAGCTAAATAGTAGCTGAAATAGCAGAAAAAGCTGAAAGGAGCACAACAAACTGAAATTATCATAAAGAAGTTAATTAGGCTGAAAGTAGCAGAAATTACCACAAAAAACTTGAATTTACCTGAAAACAGCTGAAATTATCTAAAAATGCTTAAAAACTAGCTGAAAATATAGAAAAAGCTTAAATTAGCAGAAGAAAGCAGAAAAAACACATTTGCCCAGTTAGGTGAAAAGAAGCAGAAATCAGCACAAAAAATATTGGAAATTATCTAAAAAAGGTGAAATTAGCTACAACAACAACAAAAAAAAAAACCCCATCTTAAAAATAGCTTTAAAAAGCTTGAAAGAAGCCGAAGTTACCAGAAGGAAGTGAAGAGAGCACAATTTTTCAGAATTAGTCAAAAAAAAATTGAAACGAGTGAAAAAAAAGTGGAATTAGCTGAAAATGCTACAATTTGTATAAAACAACTAAATAGAAGCTGAAATAGTAGAAACTTGCAGAAATAAACTGAAAGGTGCATAACAAGCTGAAGTTAGCAAAAATAAGTTAGAAGAAGCACAAAAATGTTGTAGTTAGCAGAAAGAATCTAAAAGGAGCACAAAACAGCTGAAAAAACAGCTGAAATTAGCTGAAAATAGCTGAAAAAATGATTAAATTTGTACAAGGAAGCTGAAAGAAGCTGCACCAGAACAAAACGTGAAAGGAGCAGTAAAAGGTTGTAAACAGATCTAAAGATTTCAAGGATGTAAAATGAGCTCAATTCATTTTCTATGACAAAAAAAAAAGGGCAGAAAATGCTAAATATGTAAAAAAGCTAAAGTTGCACCAATACCAAAAGTCATAGCAGGATTGTCCTGAAAGAGCTGAATGTTTTGATTTATGTTTTGTTGAAATAGCTTGAAAACTGCAGGACGAGAAATGTGCTGACAAACATACATAAAATAAAGGATCACAACAGTGTGACTGCTGCATAAACGTTCACACAGTGGGTAGGTAATGAAGGGTTAGTACAGCTACTGACATGTAATGACATTTTAAAAAATAATTCAGCATTTATAATTAAATACTACCAATACTTTCCACTAATGTGACTCATTTCAAAATAATATTTTATCAAAATGTGCCACAAGTCATTTCATGGCCTGAATCAAATTAAATCTCAGCAGTCAGGTGTTCCTGTCTGAGGCAGAACCCGATCCCATTGATAAATGTGTGCTAAGAAACAAACGTACATTTATTACATAAATTAAAAATGAGTGATGTTGATCCTATTAAGTTCAAAGGCAACTAGATTTTTTTTTTTCTTTCTTAGGATGTTTTTAATCTGAACATTGCTTCTAAATTGTATTGGGATTTTTAAAAATTAAACATATACCTGATTACCTTTGAATGAATTTAATTTAATTTTAATATAAAGTTAGAGAGGCCAGACTGCATTTCTAACATGCTTCTACCACTGTCTCTCCTCTGGACATGTCCAAACCATCTCAGTCTGGTCTCTCTAACTTTATCTCCCAGTTGTTCAACCTGTGCTGCACCTCTGATGATCTCATTCCTAATCTTATCCATCCTTGTCACTCCTAAAGAGAACCCTTCTCCTGTCTTTTTGTCAATGCCACTGTCTCCAGACCATACAACATAGCTGGTCTCACCACCATCTTGTAAACTTTTCTCCATCCTGCCTGAACTCTCTTCTTCACGTCTTTACCACACTCCCCATTTTCCTGGACAGTGGACCCCAAGTCATTGAAGTCCTGCACCTTTGTGACCTCTGCTCCTTGTAGCCTCACTGGTTCCACCAGCCTCCCTCTCATTCACACACTGTTTTACTGCTGCTGACTTTCAGTTGACACTTGATGAGTTTCACTGCAGATGTTTCTTCAGGAGTCTGGCCTCTGCATGAACTGAACATTATACATTTACCTGCTAAAACCCTGAGCAGCCTGGCTCCATCTTTATTACGGCACATTCCCTGAAGGAATGTGAGAACTTGTCTTCCTTCAGGCTTCCTGCCCACAGAGACCACAGAGTATCTGCTTAGTCACGCATCCTGCTGCGTTGAAAGACGAGATGAAGCCAGGTGGGGCTCCAACACCAGCACCTCTTCGCTCAGAGCTCGCTCATTTGAACAGCCCATCCATCCAGGCGGGAGATGAACAAAATAGTTTATTAAAAACAGCTGGTGAGATTTAGCAGAGTCCTTTTTTCTTCTTCTGTTTTTGGCTTTAACCTTTCATCCTACAACAAGTCAGGCTTACAACTGCAGCCAGAAACAAGACAAATTAATCACAACAAAGCAGGCGAGCAGCAGCTTTCAAACAAGTTTGAGAGCGCCATTAATTATAGAGATTCAAAAAGAATTCAGTGGTTCATAATTCAGTTCTCGTCACAGCCGAGAAAACATCAGGCTTCACACAAACCCAATCTTTTAGTTTTATTCTCAAACTTGAACAGATATCACGTGGTATGCCCTGTAAGACCCAACAGTTTCTTGAATAGATAAAACTAAAATATTTTGGCATAAATGGAATAACAGAGGGGCAGCACGGTGGCGCAACTGGTAGAGCTGCTGCCTCTCAGCGAGCAGGTCCTTGGTTCAAACCCCGGTCCAGCGGCCTTTCTGGGTGGAGTTTGCATGTTCTCTCCGTGCATGCGTGGGTTTTCTCCGGGTGCTCCGGTTTCCTCCCACAGACCAAAAACATGCATGTTAGGCTGATTGGTAACTCTAAATTGTCCCTAGGTGTGAGTGAGAGAGTGAATGGTTGTTTGTCTCTATGTGACCCTGGATGGGTCGCAAGTCCATCACAGG